AAAAAAAAAAAAAAAAGAACAAGACTGAGCAAGGCATCTCAGTACCAGTGGCTCTGCGGGCCTCTGCCCTCATTCTCAGCCAATCAGATCTCCTTTCACTCTATCATCTCCTGTATCAATTATTAGCTTTATTTGTAAAGGAAAATAACTTGGATTTGATTTTCTAGTATGCCAAAAGGAATGGCTCTGATAATATTCTGACCTCAGTTGTAGCCCCTGCTCACATGACACCAGGGTTCTCAATGCATTTTCAGTAGTGATCAAATGTCTTTCCTATCTTTTGATTGAAAGGAGGGTAACTGTGATACATTACTAGGTACAAAAAATTCAGTACTGTCACTTGGTAAAAACAGGAAGCATTTGGAATCAGAGCTGCCTAACAGAATGTTCTGCTCTATGACAGTAGAAAAGTCTGTACCTGGAGCTGTTGAGTGCTGAATGCTTGGAATGTGACTGATGACTAAGGAACTAAACTTTTAACTGTATGTAACTTAAACTGCTTTAAATGTAAGTGGCCACTCATGGCCTGTGGCTCCTGTATTGAAGGTAGACTTAGGTGTGTTATGCCCGGTATGCCCAGGGAGGTGTCTCAGATGCTATAATCAGTTTCCTTATCACCCCTCAGCTGCCTTCTGCTCTGACACAATGGTATAAGGGACCAGAGACCCTCAGACAGCTGCCTGTCCATGTAGGGGTGTAGCTGCCTGGGCTGTCGTGGGTTAGCAGCACAGACCCATGCCAGACTGAGTGGCTGAGCCCCGCTGTTCACCCTCTCTGACTCCCTGATGCTATAGAAATTAGCCAGCAAACAGTTCAAGTGGACCAAGCAGTTAAATTTCCTTATTCTTAAAAATGTGCAGTATTTAGATGGAACCTCAGATTGCAGATGACATCTCTAGCTGCAGGAGACCAAAGCCTTTCTTTCTGTTGTGGTGGCTGTAAAGTGATTACAGTGGGGATTACGTGGTGTAAGAAAGAACAGACGATGGAAATTACGAAGAGGAAGTGATGTGTACACTTGCCCTTCCCCAAGCTTCCAGAAGATGTGCTCCCTGGGGCGGGGGGTGATTCAGTGAAGGAAACTTCTTTAAGCACCTTTTAGTCACACATGAGCCAAAACTAAGTTCCAAGAAACTAAATCTTACCTAAAAAATCTGCAGGTCTGATAATATCACGTGGTTTTTTAAAGAGTAGTGAGGGATTGAAAGAGTTTGACACCTGTGATCTCGCTTCCTCCTTGTTAATCTCTTTCCACTTTCTGTACATCTATATGCATTTGTCATCTCCTGTGGTTCCTGAGTAAGTTTTTTAAAATCATTTTTGTTGTTATGGTTGCCCTTACGAGAGAGCCCCAGCTCCACTCCAAGCTCTACCTTTTCTTCACTAATTTATCTCCGTTTATAACTATGTGACTAATTGGTACCTGATTATTTGAAAGTCTCAACCCCAAGGCTGTGGTATTTCATTTCTCTAGTTTTTATTTTTTTATTCGTGTGAGACAAGTTCTTACTCCACTGCCAGCAGTAGCAGCAGCATAGCTCACTGCAACCTCAAATCCCTGGGCTCAAGCCCTTCTTTTGCCTCCGCCTCTCAAGTAGCTGCATTACAGGTGAGCGCCACCATGCCCAGCTGATTTTTCTATTTTTTGTAGAGATAGGGTTGCTCTCACTTAGGTTGGTCTTGAACTCTCAACCTCAAGTAGTCCTCCCATCTTGGCCTCCCAAAGTGCTAGGATTATAAGCGTGAGCTACTGGATCTGGCTGGCAGTGGTCTTTTAATGTTCACACAAAACGATGTTTTTTTCTAGACTTTACAAGATATTCTGGGGCCTCTTTTTCCAAGTTCATAGAATCTGTATATCCTGAGGTTTCCAATCTTATTTTGTATTGTTTTTTCTTGATGTCTGAGACTACTTCCCACCCTTCCCATCTCACAGGTCAAAGCATTTTAGGTAATTAGATACTGTATTCCTCATGCAAGCTTCAAGAAACATTTCTGCTTATTCCAAGCACACCTCTTTGATACCTGCACCATATATCCACAACTGGGCCACGACTGGGGTCTGAACACGTAACAGTGGAAACACGACTTCCATTCTACTATCTCAGGGAGGCATGGGTGGTTTGCTCGGAGTCTAGGCTTTTCCGGTACTGAAGGTTCTGGGAGAACACTTCTCTCTGTGCTCCAAAGGCCTGGTCCTTGGAAGTCCTGCCCTAACGTAAATCCCTGTCCACGTTAGTGTCTCCTTCAGAGACCTTCCTACGGCCGATCTCATTTTTCAGCTTTCTTTGTTGTCTTTATCATCAGGACTCTAAAAACTCTCTTCCCCAAAGTTTTCTGAATTCTCCTAAGGATTTACTGAAGGATTATTATAACATATTCATATACATTAAGATAGTAACTTGCTTCAGTAAATCTCTCATCCTGAAGAGCTATTCTTTCTTTAAGCCACTAATGAAAAGGACATTGACGATTGTACATGGTGGTGACTGCAGTTAGTGACAACATAGAGTACCCCGGAAAAGGCAAGGAGAGAGGATCAGAGTTGCCATCACAGGAGGGGGACACGAGGGGCAACGCAGGTGCTGACCAGCTGGACTGGGCCATTCCACTGACACGTGAGTCCTTCACTACACCCTGTGGTGCGTTGTCAAAACCATACAATGTTATGTCAATTAAAAATAAGACTGAAACAAAAGACAGGCTGAAGGTCTCCCTCGAGCCTTCATCTGTGGTCGTCCCTTCACCTTCTTGGTGTCAGTTACCTTTTCTCAAAGTTGTGTTTACTGTTTTGCTGTGTGTTTGTAGTTTGGGTTCATTTATTTACTGCAGGAACCGTGTTCCATCCCATGTCCAGATATTATTTTCTAGTGAGCCCTACTCAGCAGTTTCATCTAGAATTTCAGCTCCTTCACCCTGCACTCTCTACCCCTCCTGGACCTACTTATATATCACTATAGTGACCGTCCACTTCTAACACCCTCTAGCCCTTTTCAGCGTGTGTCTTTCCCCACTAAGTGCAAGCTCCCCCAGGGAAGACACGCACACATCTGGAACAGAGCCTCCAAGGCTCTCTGTGCAGGCTGACACACTCTGTCACCCTGGTGAGGGCTCTGCCACAGGCACTGCCGCCCTCCACTTTCACAATCCTAAAAGTTAATAATTAAGCAATGATTGCTGCATTACTGCTCCATGAGAGATTTGGTTAAGATGTCCCAGGATTTTCCCTTTTTGGCATACATATTTCTAAACCATCATTGCAGAAACTTTTCTTATCTACTCCCTGAAGTTTTGCTAACTCAATTTTCTTGTGCAATGATTCTCCTCTGTGTGGACCATTTCACTTACCACATGATAAAGCAGGCTTAATTTTTAATTAGAGTGTGATAACAGGAAAGCTTGATGAATTTTTTTAACCTTCCAATTGGTGAAGGTTTACAGGGAACAGCAGCTGACTTTCTGAATTGGTTTGAGGCAGATTGTTTGACACAGAGGTGGACGTGGGGGTTAAGAAAATGATATATAAGTAGCTTTTCCCTAAGAAGCTTAGAGCTTTGAATGAATATGATTTATATTTAATGATTAAAGAGCTGCTGGCAAGCTGACAATTGGATTTATTTCTATTAAAAATATATTAGGGCCACGGTGCTGTCGTGGGGCAGTGCAGCCCAGAGTCAGAGCCTCGGCTGTGCTCGCTCCTCCCCCGCTCACCTTCCTGGGCAGCCTCCTTGGCCGCTGCGGAGAGGCAGGCGCTCACAGCCTCGTAGGAGGCACTCAGCCGGGTGTTGGGGTCTCTCTTGGGCTTGGGTGGAGGCTGCTTCCGTGGTGATGGGAGGCTGCTGCTGTCATCCATGCTGAACACCGCATGCAGCGAGGGAGACCAGATGGACGGGCCCAGGGCGTCCACAGCCAGGGAGAGCACAATGGGGCTGGAATGGGAGTTCCGGGGTCCACCCTGGTCTTCAGCTCTGTGGGGGGAAACAGAACACAGACAACACCACACCAGAGAGGTTCAGATGCGTTATTCAGATGACAGTCAACCTGCTGCCGCTGGCAGAATGACGGCTGTGGGCGTGTGTGCCCCAGGCGGGGACCAGCCCCTGCAGGGAAAGCTGTCCTGACCTGGGCCCGGGCAGACATCACGATGACTCCTCGGAACTCTCACACAAATGCAACACCACTTACGGGCTCCTTGCTTCCTATCAGGCATTCACTCAATGAATTTTTCATACTCTGATTATTAAGCAAATCAAAAACCCAGGATTTCAATCTGAATAATTTCTGGGAAATGCATCTTCTTAGAGAGTCACTGATGCATCAGATGCTGGGGAGTCCATCACCATTTCCTTTGCAAAAGGGGAACAGACTCTGCTTACAGCCAGCACAGACCGACGGGTTCTCTCTCTCCTCCCGCCCTGATCATTTACATTCTACAAGAAATTATTTAATTACGGTGGAAACTATTATTTTCCCCATTACTCCACAGGGCCACCCGGTGCCAAGTGAACCGCTGCTCATCACTAAACAAACAGACAGACACTTCCTCACTTAATGTTCCATCAGGCAAACACATACAGAACCAAATTGAGAAATTGGGGTGGCTGCTTAGTTCCAGCAGAGAAAATAATAAATATTATTCTGGAAGTCATATAAAATTAATGGTTATCTGGTTTAAAAAATTCCTTCTGGCCTCACATGTCAACCTAATCATGTACTAGCAAGATGCCAACGCGTTCATTGTGCGAGGAGCTTCCGGGCGCTCGTTTTCATAATTACAACTTCCCATGGCAGAATACCAACCGGCCCCGTGTCTACCACCAGGCACAGCCAGCCGCCCAGTAGAAAATGAAATAGCTGGAGATCAAGGCATGGCACTCGGTGGAGAATCTGTTTTCCCCGTAATGTTTAATTATAGTTTTGTATAAGGGACTTTTTTCGGTATTTAATCACTGAGATATTTGAAGCTAATTAGCAAGATACGCATTGCCATTTCCACTTTAATAAAAAAAATCATTTGGCAGAAATGGCAACAGAGAATCACTTTGAGTGAGAAACAACAAGATATTACCAAGTTCTGATGGAAAAAAAATAAACATCTCCCTGGGAATGACTTAAGACCCAGAAGGCCACGCTGTGAAGGGTGTTGTGGCTGACAGCTGTCTGCCTCATGTTTGGAGGGAAGATGAGAAAATGGAGAAGGACCAGGTTATCTGTGTGCTTCTAGTTCACGTTCAGCATCTAAAGGGAACTTTTAAATAAAGAAGCTTTTCCCAAAGCTTTCCTCCTCGACAAAGCGTGTCAGTTTACACTGGGGAATCCGACACAGAGGCTCCACTTATGGAATTCACTACTTCCTTCATGTTTCTAGAGTGGTGTCTCAGTTTTTTGGTCAGATATCCCAAGTCTCTATAAGCCAGCCTTATGCACATGACCCTGTGTCAATACGTCCAGAGCCCAGCTGTACGTCCCTGCTAAAACAGAAAACCTGGATGCTTAACCTTTGAGCGTGTTGATATAGGTAAGTGACCTCAGCACTGGGCGAGGCAATGGGGTGAGGCAATGATTATTTCATCTGGGGAAACTCATAGGTACTTGCATCTAACTCAGAGAAGGAAAGCACAAAGAAACCATCTGTTTGGACTAAGGGCTTTCGAATAATGAATCTGCATGGTCTTGTAACTGCCATCATGGTGCACTAAACTTTGCATTAAGGGTACAGGAATTTCAAGACTCCGTGGAGTCAAGTGCAGTGGTAATTAGGGCTTTGCACTCTCTGTCTGCCCTTACCTCCTGGGTCCTTCCTCCTGCTTGCTCCTGCCCTCGGACTTCTCTTTGTGGGAGGTGGCGTTCATTTCATCACGGAGCCTGTCGTTTTCCCGGGCGATGTCTGAAGCATTCTGGATGACCAGGGCATCATAGGTTTTCAGCCCCACGTCCTCCGTGTGCTGTAAGAAGCTGTTGATGGAGGTGACCTCTTGCAGTTTGACGCTCATCCTCTGCAGCAAGTGCTGGCGGGCTAAGAACCCTCTGATAACTTTCATAAAAGAACACAAGCACAGGTTGGTGAAGGGAGCAACAGTCAAAGACCCGGACCCGTGCAAACAAAAGACACTAGGTGTTTATCTGAGCAGCTATGAAATAAGGTACATTTAACCCAGAATAAAGATTTACTGAAACATTCTAATGTTACATATTAAAAAATATATCTAAATTTAGTAATGACAACACTAAAGCCAAAAACCCTTGACATGAGTGAGATATTGCAGGTGATATTTATAGTCTAGGTGCCCACAGTTTTGGAAACACAGCTGGACCCTGACCGACAGGAGGTAAATGGATGAGAAAGATCTAGGTCCAAACGCTGAGAATTTGAGGGTATGTCTCCTGCTGGACTATTTTGGGAGGCACTGACTATCTTTCATTGTATCAGATTATTACATAAACATTTAAGACTCGTGGAGTTCTCTGAAAATATCATGCATAGATCATTTGTAATACTGTGATTTAATTCCTGGAGAAATGAACATGACATTTAACACTAAGGAAAGAGACTATGTGAAAATACAGAACATCCTCCCTCCTCTCTAGGAAATGCGGGTGGGAAAAATGTGTAAAAAATGGGGAGAAGAAAACACTTTGAAATCACTAATATATCAGTAACAGGTAAGAATTGAAAATATTTTTTAAAACCCACTGTTTAAAGGTACCTTTATGTGTCAGACACGCTATCATCTAACACTGAAACTCAATAATACGTATGTAGATGCTGTTATCCACCATTTAAGACAGGACAGTAATTTTCTTAGTGAGACTAAAAAAATTCCTGCAGGTAAATAAACCAGTGGATGGCAGAGCCAGGGTCCATATCGCTCTGTGCTTGAGGCCAGACTACACCCCTGTAGTCCACCGGGGTACAGACATAGTCTGCAGCTTTCCAGGAGGCAGGACACCCACTGGGGAAGGCAGAGGGAGACGAGTTTGTAATCAACGTGCGAGAGAACCGGCTAGCAGTCAGCACAGGCGGGAGTGGAGGAAGGGAGCTGGTCTGCAGCCCTGAGCAGGACCAGGACCAGTGGCCTCTTCTCAGGGAGAGAGCAGACGGGTGAGCTGAGCAGGTTCTGGCAGAGAAATTCGGATTTGAGTCTTTGAACCTCTGTGATGCCCTCTCTTCCAAGGGTAGAAGGATTTCTAATGATTACAGAAGATTTATAATTTCAGGCAAAACCAATGCGTGTAGCAAAGGTACTTCATTCTTGTCCTTAGAGAAGGGAGAAGCCTACAAAACATTGAGTGCTTTAAAGTATCTCACAGCGACAAAATAATAAAATGAGCAGGTTGGCTGTGTAGAACATCCATGTTGATGCCTAGACTTGATGAGACAGGAGGAGTGAACACAGCCTCTACCATGGCGGCTTCAGAGGAAGATGGTAGATAATAAGCAGATCCCCCAAAGCTTACGCCCTTTCTTTTCCCCCAGACAGCAGCACTAACGTTCCATTACACTGGAAAGCAGGTGCATTGAGTTAACTGTAAAAAAGTTACGCTGAACTGATCTGAAAGAAAATAATTAAATAGCAAAACACTCAGACTTCCAGGAATCTAAAATGTGGAATAAAGTGAGGAGGGAGAGCCACGCGGCACTTCTACTAGTTTATAAAAATTGAGACGCTGACTTTAGGAGGGTGAAGGTGAGAGTGTATTTGAGATGTCCGGCTCCTGGAATAAAGGAAGGCTAGCTGACCTCCTTCGAGGGCAAAGCCATCGGGGCTCACATCCACCTGAGCATCCCCCCCCCCCCTCATCCCGAGGATCCACCTTCTCACACTTTAACCCGAGGGCCTTTTCAAATTCTTTCAAAATGTTACAGCAGTTGCTAAAAATCAGTATCTTTAATAAGAGATGGTTATTAAAAAATTAACTTGCCACAAATAGACATTGCTATTTGCTATCTTTCTGACAATTTTAAAAGACTACTTCTGCGATACCTACCAGGAAAAGTCTTAATTCACAGGGATTTCCATCCAGAATAAAATAAACATATATAGTATGAAAGAAAATTTATGGTAGGAATAATTTGAAATTAAAATGATTAAATTTAAAACTTAAAGGTACAGTTTTCTTTCCCCCAGACATTTACAAAGAAAAAAGAATAGCATTCTGAAAAAAATGGAAATGACTCCAGATGATCTACATTTGGAGAAAGTTTAACATTAGCAAAAGGCATTAAGGGTTCAGTTCTCCAAGAGATGTAAAAATAAAAACCAATACTTAATGCTTTGCTTTTAGGCGCCTGTAATTTAAAAAAATAGTCTTCCATCCGTTATTTCATTTCATTTGTGCAGTATGAAATTGTGCTTTTTACTTTGATGCCTTTTTTTTTTTT